TTTATATATTCTATATTCTATATATTCTATTTTATTATATATATATTTCCTTTTATTATATATATATTATTATGATAAGCGTGATATATCGATACTCTTAAATTCTTTTAAACTTTTTACCATTTTAAATTGCAGCTAGCCATTTTTTGTCATAAATGCGTAGAATCGGCAGTCTACATAAATGAAATAATTACTTTCTTCATGATTCTGTTACAGTTACTTGCTTGCTACGTTAGGACATGTTGGGTGTATCATTTTTTAAAGACGAGCTACGGAATAAATAAAGTATAAAAAGTTTTAAGATAGGCGGAAGTAACGGTCATAATGGGGGCTTGCACAGCGTTACGCAAAGATATTCTACGTTGGTGTGCGTGCAGAGGCTCATCCGGACGTTTCATCCTGCCTTTCTCGTATCTAGACAGCGTTTCACGAAACAGATACGCCGGTGTTGTGTTGTCCGGAAAGAAGAGGACAAATGCATCCTGTTTTCCCTCATTCTGTTTTTCTAGCCTTACCTACAGATAATAACGATCTATGGTGCAGCATACACTGTTGGTCACAAAAAAAGTCGGTTCGCCTCGGACGCGAAAGAATTCATGCCTCACTTTCCGTTCGCATCCTATTCATCCTAGCATTTTTTCGTTTTTATATCGAAATGATACTGCGTAGAGATCGAAACTAATAATATTTAAACAATAATAAAAAAGATCACATGAAATTATCAGACTTTCGCAATATCTTATTACTTGAAGTGAAATAACAATAAAATTTCAAAGCAAAGAAGAAAATTGTATACGATAGAGCCATGATAATGGGGTACATGGGAACCATGGTACATGAAGTGGCTGATTTCTAAGTAAATTTTAAATTGAAAAACCGCTATTTCATACGCAAAAACCTAACTGTGTCGACGGTGTTATTTTAATTATGGTATTATAATTAAAGGTTCAATGAGATTGGTCTTGACGTAAAGGAATGTTTTTTTTAAGCTAGACATTGATAGGATATGCGTCATAAAGGCAAGTGTATGTACATATACAGAGAAACGAAAATGTTGAAAACAGAGAATGTAGCAATGTAAAAATAAAAGGAGATACTTCGACACGTATAGTTTAACAATTTTTTTTGAAAGAGACCTTTTTATACAGATTTTTGTACACATGATAAAACTATGCAAATTTTGTTTTAACTTTTTTTTAACATCATTTGCTGTGCTTGAGATATTTCACTCAGTCACTGAAGGCCGTTTTCGCCCTTTTAAACCGAAAAACCATACCAACAAGAACTACGCTTGTGTTAGACATAACCTACTTTTCTTGTGTGCAAACTTTCGTATTTTTTGGATTTTACAAACGTCCCCTGTTACAATTTAGAAATTGCAAATATACGAACTTTTATACGTTTCGATAATACTTCTGTGCATTTTGACAATTTTATTCATTTTGATCATTCTTTTATTCATCTTGATAATACTTTTATTCATTTCGATAATACTTTTATTCATTTTGATGATTCTTTTATTCATTTTGATAATACTTCTACTCATTTTGATAATACCTTCGTTCATTTTGAAGATAGATTTTTATGGCATTTCACCGATACTTACATACATTCTTCACTCAACGCTTACTCTCATATTGGATAAATATTGTGAGTAACTGTAGATTTTAGGTCAATATAATCTGGTTAGTGTTCCGAGCATTTAAAATTTGCTACCACGAGTTCCAGCGAGAAGTGCTAATCGATGCTCGCCGATACATTACTTTTTTAAATAATCTCTTTACACTCGAGTGGTGATTCTAAGACACCAATAAAAATTGTTATATCTCATTTGAAAATAATATTCACATTTGTCTACATTTAAGAAACTGTTAGAAGTGAATCTGTTGCATGAGTCACAAAATTCTATTTCATATGTATACAATGCACTAAGTTATATAAAACGGAAAGTTTTATCATTTAATCATTTAATTAGTAAAACTATTTTGGATTTCGAGTTAAAATGGCTTCGACTGCAGTGTGTTAAATTTGTATAAGTGTGACACTACTACGTTAATGTTACTGCATTCGGTATCACACACACGCACACGCAAAATATAAACTGTCACCAATTATACGAAAGTTTCACTACAGCACTTAGCGGCTATAACAAAAGTAAACCTTTAACCCTTAAATGCATGATTTTTTGTTTTGAATTTTAGAAAATCGTTTTTTATAGGAATGTAGTCACAGGTTACGTAAAAAATAAATAAAAAAGTCTAGGTAATAATATTGAGTATTTATTTTGAAAAAAAGTTGTATGTAGACTTTTGGCAACAATATGCGTTTATTACTAAAATTATTGTAGACGTAAACAAAAATGGTCATGTATTTATATTATCTATTAGTATAGGAATTTTCACATTATTTATAAATGAAATGCAGCAAAGCAATTGCGATTTTTGTTGTGACACAAAGCAACCTTGCATTTGATGCACTCAGTCCGTGAAACTCGAAAAAAAAATCTCTCCAAGTAACACATTGAAGGTTATCACCCACCACATTCAAATGTCAAAAAACATATCACTTACTCGCCAAAAGTAATGTCAAGTCTTTTATTTCACACATGGTCTATTGTTTATTGTTATCAACGCGTGTTCGGAAACGCACATACTCAGGTTTTTGAATAAAATTAAGTGGAACTGGAATGTAGACAATTGGCAACAATATGCATTTAAGGGTTAAGATCATAGCAGGATGAATCATGTCGGCCCACCTCTCGTTCTTGCACCGTGGTTCCGAGAAATGAAAAAATCGAATACAAACACGGTCGTCGCGCATCCGGGCGACGACATCCGGAACATGGATGTTTGTCTAGAAGCGACGAGATGCGTGACACACCGGATTCCTTTGATCCGTGTTGTTTCACACGACAAAATAACGCGCAATTGCACGCGGAATATCGCACACCTGTCTCGTAAATTTTCTCTCCTAGCGATCTCCCGTCTGTTCTTCCACGAAGCATAAATTTACTCCGTCATCCCCGTGCACTATGATTTCTATCACAGCTACGTTCTATCACTTGCTCGTTCTCAATAATTCCTTTAATAGAACGTGACAATTCTGTTTGGCTTCATTTAACTTCGTACCTAGATTTTAATGACAGAAGAATCCAATTTTGTCTCGATTTAGAAAAATGTCTGAACAAATTGATTGGAATAACATAAACAATAATACTTTTGAATTGTTCTATCTAAGATAACTTATATAGATGCTGAAAATTTAATCAAAATTGTTTGCATCAATTATAGAAAAGATGAATTAAATAGAAAAGTATTCCTTTTTTTCGATAGTTTAAATAAATAAGGTAACGAGACATAGGTTGTTCTGATGTCTTCGTTGTTCTGTATTTCGCTTGTCCTTTTTCTTTATAAATTCATAAAATATGCAGTCTTCATACAACAACGTTAACCGAATCCGATGCAATGAAAAAGTTGAGAAACATTGCCATTTATATTTTTTTCCATTCGAACTAATTGCAATTTTTGCCTGTTGCTCATAGTCTAGTAAAGTGGTTGAGGAACCACTGAAATAATCCTGATAATAAATAATCTATAGATTATATCTAATAGAAATAATCCTATACCTGAAATAATCTAAGTCGTTCGGACCAATTGTTAGAAGATTATTCGGTTGTGAAGGGTGTACGCAAACTTTTTCTACCGAGTGCGATGCCAAATATACTAACGGATCACATCAATGTAGTATTACGCGTCTACGCCTCGAGCCGCTAGTGTTGCCGATGAGATTGGTTTATGACGAAGTAGTTGCACGTACGAGCCAGAAACGAAGTCAGCGAGCTGCTAGGAAAATGTGAGGTTTCGTGGACGTATCTGATGCAAAATCAGGGAATCGCTACGCAGCCGAACTCGATGCGAAATCAAGGAGTTGGTGGAGCGGTCGGTAGAGAAACGCAGGTAAACTCGATACGGAATCTGGGAGGTTGGATAACGTACAAACGATCCTGATACGAAATCAGGGGACTGTGGAATGCGTACAAACCTGACGCGAAATCAGGGAGCTGTGGAATGCGAACAAACCTGGAACGGAATCAGGCAGTCGATAAATTTGGGAAAATTGCTCCGAATTATTCAGACGCGTGAGCGGCACCGATGCGAGATCAGATTATTACAGGGAAATTTTAATAACGTTCTGTATTCTAGTAACGTTAATGTTATAATTTATATAATTTAGTTAATATAATTTGAGGGGTGAGATTTTAACTTGCGAAAGCAATAAAAATATATAATAGAGCTTTAATAATATAATAATAGCTATAATAAATATATATATATATACCAATTTTATTCTTTTATAATTTTTTAATTTGTTATTTTTATTTTATTTTTCCAATTTTTATTTTTTTGTACTTTTTTGTTTATTTTTTTAAT